CATATAATAGGATTTAGTTCTGTTTTAAGGTTGAATAATACTCCATTGTATATATGTATCACATTTTCTTAATCCATTCATCCATCCGTGGACCTTTAGGTTGCTTCCGCCTCTTGGCTATTGTAAGTAATACTGCAATGAACACAGGTGTGCAAACCCATTCCTTCTTGAAATTCATCTCTTTGTTTCCATCACCCCAAACTTTCTTGTACGCCTGCCTCTCTGGCTGCCTGTTCTTTGCTTGCTTCATTAGCTTTTCTTTCCCCACTTGCTCTTTATATACTATGTATTTTCAAGGATTTCATGTGGGAACTTTTCTCACTCTCCTCCTTATGTCCTGATTAACAAAACTAATTCACAGGCTTGCATTGTTCTTCTAAGCTCCTAGACCTGTATTTCTAACAATTTGCCAAACATCTCTACCTGCATGTTCCAGTGATATCTCAAACTGAATATGTCCCAAAATCAAACACAAATCAACATGCATTTAGTCCTTGTCTACTCCGTCAGCTCCAAGTCATGTTGTAGGAATACAAAGGTGAATAACTTCACACTTCCTTCCCAGGTAGGCTCCTTCTCCTGCATTCTCCGTATTTTGTAAATATCATCGCTATTCCCAGTCATTCTGGGAAAGTCCTCTTTGTCACCTCGCATCTCTTTTCTCTCCACATCCTATTGATTCTCTCAAACATCTATTGCCTCTGCCTCCTCTTCTCATCCTTTTTCCCCTGGATCATCACAGCTGCTTCCTAATTGGCCTTCAGTCCATCTCTCCCACCACTGCCATCAGCATGACCCTTCTAAGACACAAAACTGGCTATGCTGATGCCTTGCTTAAGACTCTCAGTGACTCTCCACTGCCTATAGGCTAGTTCTCATCTCCTGGGCATGGTGTATAAGGCTCTCAATGCCAGTGGCTCTATGTATTTCCAATATTTCCTTTCACCATCTTCATACTTTCCCTGTTTTCTAGAAACAGCACATTATGCTGTTGTTGTCAAAATGCTAGGCTCACTCAAGTTTCCCAGCCATTTCCCACGCTGTTTTCTCTGCCAGCGATGCTCCAACCTCGATCTCCAATCCTCCTCCTATGTGTGCTCTTAGCAGACTCTTCCTCCTTTTCAGCTCCTTCTTTTCAACTCTCAGCAGTCACAGCTTCAGCCATAACTACTCTGGGGTTCTCTTTCTATTTCCCTAATCCGAGGTAATCAGGGTGGAGTAGTGGAAATCAGCCCAGACTTATGTCCCAGGTGGCCTGGACTTTAAATCCTAACTCTGCCACCTACTGGTGGCATCTATTTTGTCCACTGGAAAATTGCGGTAATAACCTCTGTGGCACCGTGGCTGTGGATACAGGAGTAACAGCCTATCTCTGCAGCACCTGGGAGAAGGTACTGAAGAAGAGGTAAATTTTATTTTCCTGGTTTTAAAAAATTATTTTCCTATTTTAAAATTCACTTAGATATACAAAAGCATCATCTCAAAGTCAATTTTTGTTTCTTTCCAAAGCAGTTCCTCCTCCAGACCCATCTCTTTCCATCAGTAGCTCTGTCATTCTTTCAGCCATCCAGGCTGAAAATCTGTCACATTGGATTTCTCCTTGTTCTTCATCTGCCCACATGTAACCAGCTACTAGATCCTGTCCTTTTTCATTCCTTCTTCCAACATCCTCGTCTTATATTTCAGAACTTCATACCTGGACAATTGCCATTGTCTTCTGGCTGGTCTCAGACACCACCTTACCAATGTCACTCCCCCAAATCCTCACTGGATCCTTATCAGCTATGGAATAAAGTCTAAACTCCTTAGTGTATACTAAAACCTTCCACAACCTGACCATATGGTTGCCAGATTTAGCAAATCGAAATACAGGGTGCCCAGTTAATTTTGAGTTTTAGATAAACAACCAATTTTGGGGGTAAAGGTATGTCACATGCAACATGGAGGATGTATTTATACTAATATATTTTTATTTTTGCTGTTTATTTGAAATTCAAATTTAACTGGGCATCGTGTATTTTATCTGGCATGCCCACCTGGCCCTAAGTTCTGTTCACAATGAGTAGTAATCACGTCACTGATGAATATTATGCCAAAATGAACAAAACACAAGAGTGTTTCTTACTGGCTTCTTTCAGAGTCAGAATTAACTGTTTGCTAAAGCTCCATTATGAAGCCCATTAACATCCAGAGTCTGAAGGAAGGACAGTTTTTACCCAGTCAGTTAATACTAGACATTAAGCCTGAATTTTCTATCCTCTCTCCCTCAAACGTAAGGAGCCCTGAGGATACCTACCTCAACTTTTAGGATGGAGGGCCACCAAAGAAATTACTTGGTAAAACATGAATTAAATTGCAACAGAGCTTGAGGAGTGAATTTCCCAACAGAGGCAGATTTAAGTATGAAGCATGGGAGCAGAAAGGAGGGAATTAGTTCTCCTAACACAT